TAGTACAGCTGTTAAGGGAACAATCGTTCACTTTGTGATAAAAGCATGAAACTTGGCAAATATACTCATCTAGGTGTGCTTATTATTTTCTGATATGGAGGCATCTGAGATATGGTCCATCTTGCAAGTTATACGCATGTCAAAAAATACCGAAGCATGGAAACGAGGCTGGACAATAAAATCACGTTTTTGAGACTTCTTTGGGTTGGATAATGCTGAAAACAGTAGTGAGATGTTGTGTAAGCATCGATAGTATTTGAGAGATGGAAACAAGGTGCTTTTGGGATTATCACGTGATTAAGCACGTGACATACTAATTAAAAATGTATAATTAGCATAATCTACATAAAGACTTGAGTATTGCTGTATATATAGTTTAAGTTGACGCGAAATAATGTACTTGCGATTTTCTTTTCCTTTTCTTTTATCGTCAGAATATAAAATCTTGTGTCTGAACCTATGTAGGACATTTTTAAATGATAAGCTTTGACATTAGGTAAGGATCTGTGATATTGAGGTTTTCGAATTATCGAGCAATGTGATTAACTTACTAACTTACTTCAGGAGTTTGTGGTACAATCAGTGATACAATCTCTTTTTTTCTTTTTTCTTTCTTCTTTTCCTTTTTTTTCTTTTCTTTTTCTTTTCTTTTCTTTTTTTTTCTTTATGTTACAGTATATTTTTTTAAAAATGAGATCCTGCAAAAAAAAGTGTATTAGAATTTGAAATATGTTTATGTCGTCGGGGAGCGTTTCACATGCAAGGTCAATTTCAAGTTATTTATCTGATRTCTTAAGTGTCACAAAAAGGATAAATGTAACTTACATCAGGAGTCTTGTACGGAGTGTCCACCACAAGAGCATAAGGGTGTGCAGTCTAAGTTGGCTTTAAAGCACTTGCAATTTCCAGTACAGCCCTTTTTACATTTGCAGTGGATTAACTCGTAGCAGGTGTCCTTTGCCTGATTCAAAGTTGTCCAATGTGGCTTATATCTATTATCAACCTTTTTCCAACCCCATTCCTCCGGGTTAGGGATATTTTGCTCTGGAATCAGCGTTTGTCCCCACACTATTGCACCTTGGAAAAGTGYCCTCAGAAGATGTTGCTTGAGTGCGTCTTTACTTGGTGGCACCAACTCGATGTTTTGAGTTCTTGTTGCGAAAAGATATTGCCTTGCTTTGTTGACCTTAAGAGTAAAAAAATAATAAATACAAAAGGAAAGAAAGAATTAATTAAWTAAATAAAAAGGGTAACTGAGAATAAAGCCCAGGTCTGTGGAGTCAAAGGTCGTAGCAGATCCTCTAGCAAAAAGAGC